GAGGCAGGCACCTTAGCAAAACTTGTCTGAACTAAGCCGTCCCGGTCAATAGTTGAACGCAACTACGCTCTTCAGGCGATTGCACATAACTCGTTAGTACAATTACATTAAATGGAGTAGAAAACAGGTTAACAGATAAAGTTATTTCATCGTAACAATTTCTTTCCAATATGTTCGGGATGCAACCTGTTGAATGACAGAATTCAGGAAAAAAGCTTTATAATTAACAATATTAAACCCTAGCAAAAGAATTTGCTGTCGCAATTGTACGATGACAGATACTCCGGATACACACAATTATCCACCAGAGTCGCCCTTCCTCAATATGACGTGGATAAGAACTTTGCGTCAATGACTTCTGTAGTCCTTCCAAAGGTACCAGAAATCGCGGTATGTGTGTCAAAACACTCGAAAGAGGCAACACGTTGGTTTTTTTTAAGTCAATGCTATAATTAAATGTCAAGCATATTAACGTAACAGACATGCGGTTTTAAGTTACGCTCTGCGTGTGGACACAAAACATTCCCCACGACGATTAGAACGAATTTCACCATTCTGCGGTTATGAAATCACGATCCATTTTCGTAAAGAATAGTTATTGTTTATTTTTCTAATTACACCATTATGTGCATCATCTAAATCTCTCATTGTTGTCTATGTCTATGAGGCTCGCTTTCACCAACCAGATATGGTTGGCTAAACTCTGAAATATCTATTGTTTATCGACGTACACGTCATCCCTGAGGTTATTGTGCTCTAATTAAATTAGTTAAGATCTTGCTAATACAAGGTGGGGATAAACGTACTCTTGAACTCTGCTACGTACTAGTTTCAAGAAGACTGCTGATATCTCTTCAAGGAATTTTGAGTATTCGTAAGTTGTCTGATCTTCTCGCGCTTGGGTCCGAGCGCCGAATTCACCGACGAACAGACTTCGGAAATATTTGCCATGCTTTTAGTCAACTCGTGCATCTCTGATTCCATCTTCTCGACGTCGCTTTTCATCTTTATGTTAATAAAGACGATTTTTAGTTTTTTTTTTTTGGCTTATAACCATTATGCCCAATTGTGATGCCATGTTACCTTTCGAATTGTATCTGTGGCGCTGATAAATCTGCTGTAATTCTCATACACCAAAGTTTTCATATCACCATCCAACTGTCTCGTTTCTGAACGTAAGAATATTCATCTTGTAGGATATTTGTGGAATGCAAAACAAAATAAACAAATAAACTCTTACCGGTAGACAAATCATTATCTCTTTGCATCAACGCACTCAGGTTATTCTCAACAAGTAACTTTGAGAAATAGCTATCCACTTCAAATGCTGAATTATCTGGACAAGAACGAAAATAAAGATATTAAACAATCCAATCGATCTCGTCAAAGTATTTACTGTCAAATTGATTATTTACCGATATCCAACGGATCGGCTTTCTTTCCATCTGGCCCTAACCCATAGTAATCTCTTAACAGGTTCTTTGCTCTTCGACGAGTGGACGTTAATGCCGCAGAAAATACATCATTTTTTGAATTGGCTTGATCTGTAGATGCTGAAGCCGTAGGATTAGAATCTGTCTGAGTAGCCATCTGACAACCGAAAGTAATATGATTTGTTATCAATGTTT